TTAAAGATGGAAAAATTTAATGCCAGTATATTTGAAAAGATAGCTTGCCAGGCAAGGTAACATACGCCCACTGGCAGCTGTCAGAAATGATTAAACAGTCTTTAGTGACTACAGGGTTGCACAATATAGCTAATAGAGTCAAGTCAGACACGATATTTCGGTGAAATATTATCCGATCATCGCGAAAATCGATAGGGGTCATCTTCATAATGACATTGACATACAAAATAAAAATCAAAAGAATCTGTAAACAATTGTAGCCTGTAAAGTGAGCACGAGTTGCACAATATAGCTAATAGAGTAAAACGTCAGGTCAGACACGATATTTCGGTGAAAAATTATCCGATCATCATGAAAATCGATAGGGATCATCTTCATAACGACATAGACATACAAAATAAAAATCAAAAGAATCTGTAAACAATTGTAGCCTGTAGAGTGAGCACGAGTTGCACAATATAGTTAATAGAGAAAAACGTCAAGTCAGACACGATATTTCGGTGAAAAATTATCCGATCATCACGAAAATCAATAGGGATCATCTTCATAATGACATTGACATACAAAATAAAAAAGAACTGTAGCCTGTAGAGTGAGCACGAGCCAAATGTGAACGGACGGACCGATGGGGTGATTACAATATACGCCCATCTTACTTGTGGGTGTATAAAAATGACTGGTGAAAAATATGTAATAAGAGAGTGTTGTTGACTCTGAAGCCAAAGCTGTTGAAAGGCTTTATTAGAAAATATACCAAGAAAAACAATGCAGCTACATACCCAATTATCTTTAGTTGTTGGTATGAAATGTGAACTGTGTATTAATGTAAGAACTGAAGATGGATTAACAAATGGTGCCAAAAACTCCCATTAAACAGCAAACACAGAAATCTGCAAAAAACAGAAACAGACTCTAAAGTAAATCAAAAAACTAATTCATCTGAATCCTCATCGACACCTGATATAATCATAGAGGATTTGGATACATTATTAAGCAATCTGATATTAACATGTTAAATAGACCTGAATGGGTTAATGATCAAATAATTAACTTTTATTTGAAAATTTTAGAAGAAAATGAAGGCTTGGAAATAATATATTATCTTTGGATACATTTTTCTTTATTAGAATAAATACTAATTTAGAAAATGCCTTAGAAATGTATAGGCCACAAAATCTACTAATGTATGAGAGGATTTTAATACCTATTCATACTGATAATCACTGGAGTTAAATCATTATTTATGTAAATAGTAAAACTATTAAATATTATGATTCCATTTACAGTTTTGTACGTGGACAAAATATAATGTTAAAGGTAAAAGTTTTTCTAGAAAGATTAGATGATAAAACAATGTCTTTTTGGAAAACTATATTTGAAAAGAATATAACTCTACAGCCAAATTCTTTTGATTGTGTGTATGTTTTTGTATGAATTCTGAATTAGAATTAAAACAAAAATCTCCAAAAGTAAGTAAACAATATATAGTGAATTATAGAAATATAATTAAAGATACTATAATCCATGACAGTAATTAATTTTATTTAAACATAAACTCTAATGGCAATGTCTTTATGACTTGACTCTTTACTCCTAATGTCAATGTATTGATGACTTGACTCCTTACTCCTAATGTCAATGTCTTTATGACTTGGCTCTTTACTCCTAATGTCAATGTCTTGATGACTTGACTCCTTACTCCTAATGTCAATGTCTTTATGACTTGACTCTTTACTCCTAATGTCAATGTCTTGATGACTTGACTCTTTACTCCTAATGTCAATGTCTTGATGACTTGACTCTTTACTCCTAATGTCAATGTCTTGATGACTTGACTCCTTACTCCTAATGTCAATGTCTTTATGACTTGGCTCTTTACTCCTAATGTCAATGTCTTGATGACTTGACTCCTTACTCCTAATGTCAATGTCTTTATGACTTGACTCTTTACTCCTAATGTCAATGTCTTGATGACTTGACTCTTTACTCCTAATGTCAATGTCTTGATGACTTGACTCTTTACTCCTAATGTCAATGTCTTTATGACTTGACTCTTTACTCCTAATGTCAATGTCTTGATGACTTGACTCTTTACTCCTAATGTCAATGTCTTGATGACTTGACTCTTTACTCCTAATGTCAATGTCTTGATGACTTGACTCCTTACTCCTAATGTCAATGTCTTTATGACTTGACTCCTTACTCCTAATGTCAATGTCTTGATGACTTGACTCCTTACTCCTAATGTCAATGTCTTTATGACTTGATAATAAGCTATTATGTCATATGACTTGACATTACTAGGTTTATTATATTCCTATATGATGTGTTATGAAAAGTATTTAAAGATTAAAGTCTTTTATTAAATTGAAATACCACAATTTAAAAGTGCCTGAATTTATATTGTTATTTAAAAAGAAAAATGTATTTATAGTATTCAATTTAATTTTGATCTAAGTCTTTTATGCTTGAATCCTACTTATCTTGGTTATTTATACAATATTTTCTTTCTATTTTACATCTAAAATAGATTTGATTAAGTAATTCTATAGAACAAATTATTGCTTGTAATTTGTAAAATTTCATATCTCACAAAAACAATAGCCTAAATCTATGGATTGTTTCTTACTTTTATTAAAAATGGAATTTCTGGCACATGGTTTTTCAATTTAAGAAAAGATTTATATATGATCTATACTTTTATTCTGATGGGAATTTTTGGTTTGGTTTGTATTCTATAATATTTTTTTCACAAAGGATTAATTACTTTGTGGGTAAATTTGTATTGCTTTTGGGGTTATTATTCTTGAATTTGCTGCTATGAACTTAGTATTATCATTTCTGACAACTGCCAGTGGGCATATGTTACCTTGCCTCGCAAACTATCTTACTAAGTTTAGTTGGATTTACCCTCTAGTATCTAAGCATGCAGCTGCAGTGGCAGAGAGACTTGTTCAGACTTTTTGTTTATTTGGATGTCCAAGACTGCTTCACTCTGATAATGAACGATAATTTGTGAACCAGGTTATTGATGAACTAAAGAAGTTGTGGCCAGGGTTGGTGATTTTACAAGGTCGTCCAAGACACCCCCAGTCACAAGGAAATGTTGAGCATGGAAATGGTGACATTCAGAAGAAACTAGGCAAGTGGTTACAAGAACATCCAGATCAAGGTTGGTCTTAGGGACTTCCGTTTGTTAACTATGCTATAGAGCTCCTAGACGCTGAAGGTCTCACAGATGAAGATATGATACCATCAGAATACATTGAACCAGAGGTCTCTCAGGCCACCTGTGTAGCAGACCCAGAACCAGGTCCTTCAACGACACCAGCAGTTAAACGTGGACTAGAACAAGAACTTTACCATCAAGACAGTATTGTGGCCACAGGAATTGAGGTGAGGAACCAAGAAACAGTGCATGGTATAGAAGTTACTGAAGGTCAGTTCACGCTGTGGTCTTTAGCAGAGTCCAACCCCATCTCGCAGCCCAGTACTCTGCACAGCAAGGTCAGAAAAATCGTTACTGAGAAATATTTGAAGTCCGCCAGAAAGCAGCAACCCCATTACTATGAAGCAGTATGAAGTTGGTGGTGTTGTTGGAGTGCCCATTCATGAAACAGATCGGACTAACACAGACGCTAGAGTTTTACCTTGCAAAGTTCGGAATACCAAGAAGAGTGGCATCACAACTTGTTATGAACTTTACTGTAATTTTGGCATTCTAAAAGACACTTTCATAGAAATTAGCTGCAGCAGCAGCAGACCTTGATAAAGCAGATCCAAGTGCATTAAAGCCAGTGACACTCATCCAAGCATCCAGGTTGTATAACAATTGGAAAACACAAACTGTATGTTCCTGCAAAGGCAGTTGTGTAACTAATTGCTGTCGGTGTAAACGTGCAGGACTTTCTTGCTCAACCTGTCATACTTCAACTGTTGGTGTGTGTCAAAACAGAGGGTGATGTGATCTATGTGGACTTTTGTATTGTAATGTAATGTGCTAATATTGCTACTAAATGTAATTTTTTAACAATATAAACTTACGCGATTTACATTTACATTGTGATGTTACATTGTGCTTATACATTGTGCTTATACATTGTGCTTATACATTGTGATGTTACATTGTGCTTATACATTGTGATGTTACATTGTGCTTATATATTGTGATGTTACATTGTGCTTATACATTGTGATGTTACATTGTGCTTATACATTGTGATGTTACATTGTGCTTATATATTGTGATGTTACATTGTGCTTATATATTGTGATGTTACATTGTGCTTATACATTGTGATGTTACATTGTGCTTATATATTGTGATGTTACATTGTGCTTATATATTGTGATGTTACATTGTGCTTATGAGCTATTATGTGCTTATATATTGTG